CCCAAAAAAAAAAAAAAAAAAAATCTCTGTATGATTTTGATTACAAGATTGAAGGCCAATATTACCCCAATTTGCTTGGCATTGAGGCAAAGTAGTTGTTATAGTTGTTGTATTGAAGGCCAATATTAAGTCAAAGTTTATTGTTTTCCAGTGCAACAAAATTTGAACTTTCTGAAGAAACTAGAAAGGCTACATAGTGTAATGGAAATCTAGGTAAGGAGAGTCTCTTCCTGATTTCACTTCTATGATGTTTTATCTCTCATTGAGAAAATTAAATTGAGTTAAACTTGCCGTTGCAGATGAACTATTAGAAGAAGACACTATGATCTAATAGGATAAGGAGGTAAGCATGCTTTTCAAAGCTTTACTATTTGAAAGCTTCTGCCCTTGTCAAAACCACTCAAGGTGCATTCATGTAGTGCTTCCAGGTGACTCAATTAGCCCACTTCGGTAATAGAAATTTTGTTGCCTTAGTATTTTGGGGAAGAATGTACCAGTTACTAAGGCGTGTCGGGAAATGCATCCCGCTACAGCATATGATGTACCCTCTTTGTCTCTCTATTATCAGAACGGATATCACCCACAGGTTCTCTGTCAATGTTCATCTTTCCTTACCGAAAAAAAAAAAAGAAAACCCCAAAAGAAGCTCAAAAAGGAGGAGTTCAACTGGAACAGCCAGGAAAGTGTATTAGCTTCCCTTCAAAATGATTTATACAGAGGTAACCAATCCCAAAAGCAACCTGTCAGGATGCTACTAGAAAGGAAGCTTCCTTCACACTCTAAGGTGCCAACTCCGCCCAAACACGTTCTTTAACCTTCAGAGCTGTTACCAGATTCAAAAGTGCCAAGTCAACGGTAAACTAGTTGATATGATCCTGGATAGTCCGGGCAAAATGGAGAATATTGAGAATGACCCCAAATTATCTAGTGGACCGTTGACCCGCTCCAAGTCCAAGAACGTCCAAGGGATGCACGCAAAGGAGCTGCATGAACTTCAACAATTGACTAGAAGATGTTTGGAGAGTTACTTGGAGGATTCATGCAAAGAATACCATGTTTGGAGTCTTGAGAATTGAAGAATCAACAAGTCAAACTGTGTGACATGGTTTCACCAACCGTTGGCTATGGTTCAAGAGGGGCCTGAAGAACCGAAGAAAATAAGGTTCTGGAATTCGTCACGGTTCAGTTGTGTGTTACGGTTGCGGCTACGGTTTGGCCTGGCGAGATTTTTTGAGAAATTAACTTTGAAACTTTTCCTATTTTACCCATTGGGTATTTATAACAGTCTACGGTTATTTTATTGGGAACTTAGCTATGTTGCGCGGACTCTCCAAAATGATGTCGCACCCGTGTCGGATCCTCCAAAAATACACTATTTTTGGAGGATCTGATACGCACCCGGCAACATTTTTGGANGTGGGCTATGTTGCGCGGACTCTCCAAAACAGTTGCCGCACCCGTGTAGGATCCTCCAAAAATACACTATTTTTGGAGGATCCGACACACACCCAGCAACATTTTCGGAGAGTTCGAGCAACATAGGAACTTAGCATATTTTTGACATAAGAAAACTCTTGAGAGAGATTTGGAACCTCTTGGTTTGAGTTCGACTTTGGATTACCTGTTTTCAAGACTTGGGTTCTTGAGAGTAATCTTCTTCTCTTTTCTTTATATCTAGGGTTCTAATTTGTTGTTCTTGGGAGGCGATCGGATAGTTTTTCGATTGTTGCTTGAGACGTTCACTTAGGGTTCTAGATTTTCTTCTAAATTTCCTTATTCAGACTACTTTTGATTATCTTAATCAAACCTATCATTTGTTTTGCTTTAATTATTGTTATTTTCATATTCCGCTGCTTTGTTTATCTCGGATCGTATCACTAGTTGCAAGTGGCAACAGCTAATCCCTAAAAAGCTACACTCTAGTCATTGAGGTCAGCCTGAAAATAGATCCAGCTAGACCAAGCAGCTAGAAAAATCAGCAACAGGTTGGCACCATGAATCTATAAGACGATTATTAGAAGAAGGCAGATTAGTTTCTCAAAGTGAAAGGCCACATCTCAGTCTATGAGATGACTTGGCTTTGAGAGACATGAGTATATGTGGGAGATGGTTCGCTTACTCATATTTTTATAGTGTAAACACACATACACATAAAACACAAAAATGATGACGTTATAAGTTAAAGGCACACCTGAATTTCATCAATAATCGCACAGTCGTAGTCAGATGCAACATCAGCCATCTCTACTGTAACAGCCTTATGTCTTGCACCATCAACTTCCTCCCTCTCTTGTCCAGTAATAAGGTCACAAGGAACTTTTGACTTGTTCAACCTTTTAGCAACCTCCCATGCTAATAACCTCAAAGGCCCACAGTAAACACCTGAATATCAGATTCCACTATTAAGGTAATTCCATTAATTGGAAACAGACTAGTTAAACTCAGAACGTTTCAAGGTATTGGTATTACAGTTTACCAGAAGAACTCGACTCGAGCTGTTTTAGGGCATAATATGTTTTGCCGCTATTTGTTGGGCCCACATGTAAAAAGACATTCCTGCTTTTCTTTCGAGCATGTGGGTACCATGTATGCGGATGGCTGAAATTAGAAATGGATCACAGAGATCAAAATGGACTTCCACAAAAATCACAGTACAACAGTAGATGATCTAGTTCTCCTTTTTTTATCAGGTAATATAACTTGTATTAATATGCATCCAGTGGATGAAGAATAGGTATAAACAAAAAGGTTACTATATAAAATTCAAGGAACCAACAAATACAATAGATGATCTCCTTTCATGCAGTAAATAAGAAATGAGATACAATTCTTACGTAAGGTCTGTAAAATCGACTTTTCTAGCAGCAGTGGAACTGCTGAATTGCCTTAAGCGATTACAAATAGCAAAAGAAGCTTCTGTTTCCATATTCCATGGGAGCCAATACAACTCCCAGCCACCTGTCCAACAAGAAAGAGCTAGAATCGTTAATAATTGGTTGGTTGCAATAGTAATGCAAGTCCTCCAACTAAAACTTCACAGTTTTAGAAATGACCAAATAGAAAATGTCTACAACTTCCCATGTTGGTTGGCTTAACTGTTTCGGAAAATATTTTCCTTATGAACCCATTTTCTTCCAATTTCAAGAAAATGACTTCCCTGCCAAGAGGTGGGAAAACATAGTCCGAAACTCTCCAATTGGTGGTTTCATCTCTCCCCACCCACNCCAAACACCAGAAAACCCACTTATTTTCAGGGAAAACATTTTCTAGAAAAACATTTCCCCTTCAAACCAAACACATCCTTATTATAATCTGCAAGTAGAATCAGTAAAGCACAGAGACATATACTTGGCACGCCGTCAATCTATGTCTGCACACATAGCTACAGCACAAAAAGAGCAAGAACTATCCAAAGGCCCTACATAGACTGAGCACAAATCATTCAGACTGTCATCTGAATATAAATAGAATATTGATATGAGCAATCGTCTTATCTCAAGTAATCATACTAGTTCTCCACAAGACAGCATGAACAGTTTAATAACATACAGACAGAAGGAGGTCAAGGAACTAAGAAGGTCTTGACGTCTCAATCAACGTCAGTAATAGAAACCACCCTCCCCCTTACCATGTTACGATGAACTTCACATTTCTTGAGATGTAACATTGACATCGCATGTGCTGATTCATGAGTAAGATCTGGATTCTGGATAGGCTACTAGTAGACAGTATCACCTCTTGCATCAAATTATGAAAGACAAATAAGTATTAACACCAGATCGGGGAAAACTAATCTTTATATTTTTCTGTTGACGACTTGCTAGAGAAACCAAAAACCAAAGGTGCGAATATGATATAAATAACAAGATTTTCTGCTCAAAGATGATATAAATAACAATGAGTTTTTCTGCTCAGAACAAACCAACTCTTCGTCGGTAGATGTCAATTCGCTTGTGCTTATGTCCAATACAAAAAGCCACGATTACTGTACTTCAATACGAAACAAGTTGGCGTCGACTATATGAATCGTTTCCGCTTAATTTGCGCCTGTTTCTCTTCTGAACAATATAAACAACTTAATCTCAATCTTAATCATAAATAAAATACAAAATTCTCATTTCCTACAAGGAGTTCAAGATTGCCTCATTCGACTCGATGAAAGTCAAAGTGCAAATACCATAGCTTTCTCAACCAACATTCCTTCAATACAGTAAATGAACTTTAAAATCCAAAAATATCCCACATTTAGCTATCAATTGAAACATTATTAAAACCATTATATATCTGCATACAGATTAGCAGTTGCTCTATTATATATTTTGACAATTCAGATATGATTCAAAATCAAAGTTTAAGCAAATAAATTCACTATCATTCTATAAAATACTGAAACAAAAAATAAAAATAAAAGTTTTATTTAAGAAATAGAAATCCAATTTTTACCTCCAGATTTTTCATTCTCCACTAGTCTATGCAATTATCAATCATTTTCTTCCCAACAAAGAAAAAGAAACTAACTTTCAAGAATTTAAAAAGGATCACTATTTTGCTTCTCTGTCTTATCTTTTGAGAAAACTATAAGAACTATTGAGAACTACATCGAATAAAGGAAAGGGTAATATTAGATATAAAGTAAAGTTGAAAAATTTACCATGTGATATAAGACTCTTACGCGGAATGCTCACCAGTGATAGTCTCCGGCGGAACAGCAAAGCTACCATTTTTTTTCCTTTTTTTCTTTTAATTTATACAAAAGAATAAGGAAAGTATATACACAGTTTTTTTTTTTCTTGGGAATATTGCTAGAGATGGGTGTTTTCAATTCTTATTTGAAATTGAGAAGAAGAAGAAATCATGGGAGGAGAAAGGTGCTGAGAAAATTGTTGCGTCTACTCCGACCGCTGCCTTCGGGTCTCAACTGTTAATTCTTTTAATTTTCCGAAAAACTAATTATTTTGACAAAAAACAAATCATTTTCTCTATAGTTGCTAAAAGTAAAAATAAGGAAAACATTTTATGCAAAGTGATGTTTGATTGGCGTAAAATTTAAGAAAGAAAGAAAATTTTAAAATTGTGGTCTAAATTAAATATTTATGTGTTTATAAATCATTAAAATAAGAAGTTTAAAGTTAAATTATTTTAAAATATAAAAATATGTTATTCTTTTTTGGACATATTAGAAAATATAGTGTTAGATAAATTTATTTTTTCGGTAATAATCTATAAAATATTACCATACAAAGCAAAAATTTGAATAAATCTAAAGAGCACTTTATTCTTTGATAAATATTTTTTTTGGGTCAACGGATGAAACTATATTATACTCCCTCTGTTTCAATTTATTTGAACTTATTTTCTTTTTAGTTCGTGCCAAAAAGAATGACTCATTTCCTTATTTGGAAACAATTTAACTTTATGCAATGATTTATAGCCACACAAAATATATGTGCCTCATTTTACACCACAAATTCAAAAGTTTTTCTCTTTTCTTAAACTTTGTACTCAGTCAAATGGATTCACATAAATTAAAACGGAGGGAGTATTAAAGATGAGTTAGAGTACAAGGGCCATGGGGCCTAGATGGCCTTGGGTTACAAAAAAAAGTAATCCCTTCATTTTAAATTAGATAAAATATTTTCCTTTTTAGTGTGTTCCAAAATAAATGACATATTTTTAAATTTGGAAATAACTCAACTTTAAACTCTTCATTTTACCCTTAATGATAAGTTTTTATAACCACACAAATGTTATGGCCCTACAAAACTTTTACCCCTTAAGCTTTTAAGACCACAAGTTTCAAAAGCCTTCTTCTTTTTTTCTTAAACTCTGTGCCGAGTCAAACTCCCTCATCTAAATTGAAACGGAGAGAGTACTAAGTAAGTGAATGGGCTGACTTGTATGGGAGCCCATGCTATTATATCTGTTAGATTATTCTTCTAAACAAAAAGATAGTGGAGATATTGGTGCAGAACTATTTATTTTTCTTAAGTATACACTACCGTTTTGATCTGGAAGCAGTTCATTTAACAAAAAAATTGGCGTTTCGAGGAGAATATTTGAAGTCTCGCTCATGGCCATAGTTGCTCCATATTGTACTAACTTATATGCAATGCAGTTCTGCTCCCTGAATGTATGCATTATGCGTGATCTACCTAGTTGGTGGAATACGTACCTGCATTCAAACAATAGCGATGAGTAGTGTATGTTTTGGTTTTGTAGCATAGATATTACCTATGGGGAGTCCACATTGATTTCCAATGGTATTAAATTGTGTCTCCAAGCAATTTGCAATCCCTCTAGCAGAGCACAGAGTTCCATATAGGTGGAGTCTCCTGCCGGCCTGCTTCAAGTTGAACTGCAGAATACCCCACCCAATCCATTTCTAGGCGGTGTACCTTTGGAAGAGCCATCTGTATTGAGCTTAAATTTACCTCTAGTAGGGGGGAGGGTGCCATTTGACGTACTTGGATCGAATTGGTGCTCGTGTATATGCCTTTTGGATAATGTAGTGATATTCTGCCGTTTGAGATATGATATGTTGAAGATTAGGAGTTCCTTCAATATTTTCGAAAATATTTTTATTGCGGCAGTTCCAAATATGCCATAGGACATAGGGTAAAAGTAGTTTATCAGGGAGGTTGTATGGCAGAGGTTATGTAGTATGGATGAGAGTGTAGATGTAGTGGTGGTTCATCGTTAGCCCCAAGGGTTTGTATTATACTTGTGAGGCCCATGTTATTCCAAAGATGTTGTGTATTAGGACAATTGAATAATAGATGGGCAATGGTTTCCTCATCTTGGTGACAAATGTAGCAAATTGTGGATGTAGTAATATGAAGTTTGTATAGGTATGTCACAGTTGGTAGGCGATTGTGCTCAATTAACCAAAGAAAGTACTTAAATTTTGGCGGTAACTGTAAGGCCCATATCCACTTGAAATTTGTAATAACTTGTGTGTTCTGTAGTATTTAATAAAGAGATTGTATTGTAATTTTTTTGTTAGGTGTTAGTCCTCAGATAATTTGGTCATAAACTCATGTATAAACTCATGGATTATGTAGTGATGGTACATATATTTGACGCACACATCTAACAATAGATATTAGTAGCTCAAAGGGTAAGTTATTGATATTTATCATATTTTTAGTCAAATGCTCCTTAACCCTTGAGCTTAACTCTTGGTTTGGTAGTGAGCCTTCGATAAGTTTTCTGAGTATTATGTTTGGCCCAATCCATGGTTCCGTCCAAAAACATATATGTTGTCATGCGGCAATGTGCCACACTATACCTTGTTGGCAAAATTCCCAACCTAGTTTGATAACTTTCCATATATTTGAATGTTGAGTTGGGTGGGAGTGCATTGTGTATTTATTAATTAGTATAGAGGCTCACGGTATTGATGGCGAAGTGAACATTCGCCATTCTAAGGCTCCCAGTATAGCATTATTTTTTATTGTTAGATTTTGGATACCCAACTCTCCTTTGTCTTTAGATTTTTGTATAGTATTCCATTTTAGGAGGTGTAGTTTCCTTTTGCTTTGAGTAGTACTCCACAAAAAGTTGCGTTGGTATCGCTCCGTAGAAGAGATGATATGTTTAGGAATTTTAATGAATTGCATAACGTGGTTTGGTAGTGAATTTAATGTGGATTGAATTAGAATAGTTTTACCTGCTATAGTAAGCATGCTAATTTTTCATCTAGCGAGCCTTGTTTTATAATTATCCAGGATAAATTGTTAATTAACTTTTATGGATCTTTGAGTGAATAGTGGGAATCCTAGATATTTACCAAATTTGACACCTTCTTTCATACTAAAAGAAGTAAGGACGAATTGTTTATCATATTGAGTGGTATTTTTGGAGAAGAAGATTTTTGACTTTGTGTAATTGATCTTTTGCCCCGAATTATAAGTAAATTGGTTAAGGATATTGATGATTGTATAAATGCTGGTAGTTGTTACACGTGAAGTCAAGGTGATATCATCAGCGAAGAATACGTGTGATGTGGGTGGACCTCTACGTGATAATTGAATGGGAGTCCATTGTTTATAGTCTACTGTTGTGTGAATTTGAAGAGATAGTCTTTCTATGCATAATATGAATATACACGGTGAGAGAGGATCGCCTTGACAGATTCCTTTTGTAGGTGTGGAGAATTGAGTAAGGTGCCCATTTAAAAGGATGGATATTGATGAGGTAGTGATACAAGACATAATTAGTAAAATCAGTGTGGTATGGAAATTGAAATAATGCAAAGTTTCTTTACTGAATGCCCATTCCATTTGATCGAAAGCTTTTTCTAAATCTAATTTTAAAAGGAAGTGGGTTTGTTTACCTTTCTTCTTTCTAAAATAATTGAGAATTTTCTGAACGATTATGGCATTATCAGAAGTACGACGTTCTTTAAGAAAGGAAGATTGTTCTGGACTAATAAGCTTTGGTAATATTAGCTTAACCCTATTAATAATTATTTTTATTATTATTTTATAGAGGGTATTATAAATGCCAATGGGTCTATATTGGGTAATGGAAGACGGGTGAGAATATTTTGGAATGAGACACAAATCTGTTTTGTTTGCAAGGGTAGGAATGTGTTGGTTAGTGAAAACTTCTTGGCAAAAGGATGTAACACAATTAGCATTTGTGACCAGTACTTTTGGTAGAAATATGGGTGCAGACCATCGGGTCCTAGCGCTTTTAATGGTTTGAAAAAATTTATTGCGGTAGTGATTTCCTTGATACTAAGTGTGCCAGTAAATGTGTGATGATCGTCAACATTGATTATATTGTACAGAGCTACTGAATAATAATTTGTGGAGTAGGTGTGTGTGGTTATAAATAGAGTTTTATAATATGATTCAACCAGTTCTTTGATTTTGTTTTGTTCAAAAAATCCAGTTACCCCCTGAATCTTTTAAAGCCATGATATGATTTCGTCTCCATCTTTGGAGAGACGTTAAATGATTTTTTTTTTGTATTGGCATCTCCATCTTGTAGCCAATTAACACATTTAAGTTTCAGAGATCTTCTTCTAGTCGTAAGGTTTCACTATATTGGTTAATAAGATCAATTTCTAAATAATGTAGGAAGGTGCTTGTATGGTATCTAGGTAACTGTTGAATCCCTTTTAGTCTAGCTAGGATGGTTTTTTTCTTTAGAATATTTCCAAAGGAAGATTTGTTCCATTCCTAGACTTCTTCAGTGAAATATGGCATTAATGATATGCTTATTAGGGGTCCAATTATTAGAGACTAAAGTAGTGAAATGGGGGTGTGATGTCCAGATTATTTCAAAATGGAATATTCGGTCTCTTTTATAATTTTTGTGTAAATTAATTAATAACGGGCAATGATCGAAGTGTGTTCTAGGTAGATGTTGGACATAGGCTTCAGGAAACTTAGTAAGCCACTCATAATTCCCAACACATCTATCTAGACGCTCAAGAATCCTATTAGTAAATATTCTTTTGTCTGTCCATGTGTATCTACTACCTCTGTAACTTAAATCAATTAAATTACAATAATTAAGACAATGTATAAATTTATTACATCTTGTATTGTTAATAGGATTTCCTCCAAAATTTTCATATGCCCGTACTACTTCATTAAAATCTCCTCTTACAAATCATGGCATGTGTATAGTATCATGCAATATTTTCATATTTTCCCAAAGAGTTATACGTGCACCTAAGTCATTTTTTGCATAAATGGCAGAAAAAAGCCAAGTATAGGGATTTGGTGGTACCTGTACTATAGAATGGATTTCCTGATGCATGATTGCTACTTGGTCCAAGTTGAGTAGTTCATTGTGTCAAAGCAAAATTATTCCTACAGACTGTCCCTCTGCTGGGTCTTGAGCCATACTATTAAATCCAAAGTGATCTCGCAGATGAGTATGACTCTGAATGTGTATTTCCAGCGGTG